TATATTTCAAGCATTTATAAAATGCTATAAATCTTTCTTTATTATTTTGTATTTTAAGAAATTAATATTTCAATATACTCTCGTGTTTTGAATTTAATTACATTTAACTTTTTCTGAGTTTGTATTAACCAACCAACTTTATAAAGCATTCATTGCAAGCAATCAATTGCCACAAAAATGTTCGCCAAAAGAAAATACAAGTTTGCATTTGCATTTGCATAATAAACGAGCTTAAAATATATATAAATTTATGGATTTATTTAATGGTTAGCTTAAAGTATATATTTGTGTGCAAATAAAAGAAAGGTGTTGACAAACAAATTTGAAAAATATATTTTAAGGCTGAACTTTCAGGTCAATAACAAAAAAAAAAAAATAAAAAATTAGTAAACAGTAAAATCATAGTCGACTTTTGGCAAAAATAAAATCAAAATTTGTTAGCCATAAAATCATTGAAAATATTTTTGATACAGCCAAAAAGCAAAGAGCTGTATATTTATTTTGAATTTCACGCATACAATTTGTAGCAAAAAATACTGCTATGCCATGCCTTAAACTATTGCACTATACATATATATATATATATATATAATTATATATATACATGGAAATATATATGTGTTTTACAGAATCACGTATCTGACAAACAATTTCCTACTGCGCACCCTAATATTATTATATGTATATTTACTTTTGCGTTTCGTACGCTTTTTGCAATTTCCTACTGCACTTTCTCTCTGTTTCTCTCTGTTTCTCTCTCTCTCTTTCTCTCTCTCTCTCTCTCTCTCTCTCTCTCTCTATCTAATATTATAATACATTTTATTTTTACGTTTATTCTGCTTTTCACTCCATGAATTTTCATTGAACTAAGCGGAGAGCTTTGTAAACAAGTATTTTCCTGGTTTTCACAACATTTTGCAAAATCCGATGAGCGAAATGCATAGACAAAAAACAAAAATGGAAATATGTTAAAATGCAACCTCTGCCAGCCAGTCAGCCAGTCAGCCATTGTTGAAGTTGTTGGGCGTCAGTAAAATAAGAGAATCAAGTAATGTAAAATAATATACAAATTGTAAAATAAAAGATTTTTGTTGTTGTTATTTTGCACAGCACTTTGACTGCAAACACTTTCGACGCCCATCTTTTGAACAACCCTATCAGCTTTCAATGAGAACTCTTTGGCACTTTATTGTTGCTATTGTTGCTATTGTTGCTGAAAATGCCTTTCAATATTTGATGAAATATTTACGCAATCAACGCACAGCCAAGCACAAAGCATTGTCTGAATTTACTAAATCTATAGACATCTATTAAAATTCAAATATTGAATATTAATAAATGTGCTTATTTTTGTCAGTTAATAGAATCTCAGATATTCGCTGCTGCTATTTAATTTTCAGTCCATTAGCTGAAAGCTGAAAGCAAGACCTTGGTCGGAAATTATAAGACTATTGTAGTAACGCCTACTTTTGCGCAAAAGTTTTTCACAAAACTTTGCGATGCGTGAAGCCAGAAGGAGAGAGCCAAAGCCAGCCAGACAGCCAAGTAGTTTATCCATGGATTTTTACACTTCTTAGTTGGATGTTGTCGTCCTTGAATGAGTCCAACTGTAGCAGGAAGTGTTTACATATGCGCATAAAGATGCAGCGCCACTAACAAAGTCGCACATGCCACACACATTTCTCCCCGCCACCAGCCTTCTCACATCCTCAAGTAACTTTAGTTGTGGAAAACTTAGTTTCATTTGTAATGCTGTAGTAAATCGTGACTGCATTCTATGGAAATAATTTACGCTCAGTTGATAGTTGGCCTTATAAACACAGATCCAAGCTCCTAAGTAGAGCTCTGCAAATTCTCCGAGTGCTTATTCATTCTTGTTAAAAGTTATTCTTTTTATTTAGCTAAACGGCTTATGCAAATGTTTTGCTGAAGGCATTTGTTAACTGAACTGTATTTATGATTCGAAACGCTGAAATGTTAAGTCAAGCAGAATAATAATCATAAAAATATCATTAAGATGGCTTAAGAAATATTGAAAATGATGTTCGAATAATAATGTAAAATAATAATTGTTTCATAATTGAAGTGCAATATTTATGCTGAGGATAAAAGGTTGGCAAAAAAATACACATACCATAAAATTACATTGTTATGCTCAGCTTTATTCATAATAATTGGATGCTTGCATTAATGTAATTAATTGATATAATTAGCTGATGGGTATAGTAGCAAATTCGTATTATAAGAATTAAGTGAACACTTGATTGTTAGTCACCCAAAATTCGCATGCGAATTGCATAATTTATGCAACAATTTTGCGTGTGGTGTCATAATTATTTAGGGTATTACTCAAATTTATGCACTCGCCAGGCAGCTGTGACATTTGCCCCAACAAACTTGTCGTACCGCTGACACAGCCAGCTGTCCTTCTAATAGATTACGCTATCCGATAATTGATTACAAATAAACACACACACAAACACAAAACACACACCATGTACGTGTTCCGTTTGTGGCGCGTGTACAAACATATAAACTATACACATATATTTGTTTAGGCGACAGAGCAAGACAATTCGTAAAGGGGTGACCCATTTGACCCTGACCCCGGGGCTATGCCACAGAGAAAGCCTGACCCACCCCAAAACAGCCAGAGTTTGGCTTGAGTTTTTTGTTTGGCCAGGTGTTAGGATTTTCAGTTCCGCTTAAAAAAAGTGACGCAAAGCAAAACGAACCTGAAGAAGTCCACAAACTTAGTACATACACTCAGAAAAAGATCAACTTATATTTTAATAAATCGACTTTTTTTAATCACAAAGTATATTTCTCTCTTTCAGACCGAAATTTTCTAAGCAAATATGTGTGTTTTGCAGGATATTGTTTTCTATGTGTGTACACTGGAAGAATTCTTATATTAGCTTTTTTGTTGTCACATTATTGTTAAAAATTAATTTGAAAAACGTACGATAAAATATTTCATTATATTTTTCTGAATGTTAAAAGAAAGGGTGAGCTCTTACATATTTTTAGATTTCTGGGCAATTTTTCTTTTCTGAGTGTATAGGAATCTTTATTAGCAGCATTTGAGTGGAGGGCACTAAGCAGGACAGCAGCAATCAATTAGACGATGTCATTTGCCCAGCAATTTACATCACACTCAGCCAAGGAGCTAAGCTGCTTTCCAATGCAAGCACAACCAGAGACAAGTGAGTAGCTTGTAATGAGGTTTTAGCTACGCTCTCTCGCTCTCTCTCTTTCTCTCTCCCTTTCTCTTTAGCTTTATCTATCTCTTTCTGCATTGCTACTTCAATGTACTTAGTGCAACTTGTGCTGGTCAAACGCATCATTGCTGCACTTCAATTAACCCCACAAACACACACTCGTAGCAAGTATAGAGTTTTTAGAGCAAAATTTGGCTTAGATATAATTTGAAGGCTGAGCTGGAAAAGAAAAAGAAAAGAATTCAAGTCGTTTCGAATTTTAATGTAATCTGAACTAAGTGAATTTTTGCTGCATACTTGGGTTAAGCTGAGCGGGGGGCAATCCATTAAACTGCAACTGACAGCGTTGGGAATTTTATAATTTATCAAAATGAGAATTGATGCGCCGAACAGAGTGCAAGTATTTTGTCGTTGGCTCCAAAGCTTGCCACCTGAACGATATCCAAGGTGCATCCCTTGATACCAAGTGGCCACATGCCACATGCCACACGACATGCCGTCGTAAATACCAAAAATGCTTTGGCAAATATTTGGCTGCACTCTTAGTGACACGCGCGGGCAACACAAAAAAAAAACAAACAACCCCAACTAAGGCGCCTGAAAAGCATGGCGCCTGAACGTGTGCAGCAGCTTTAACTTGGCTGCATTCGTTTGTTTTAGTCGGACAATCAAGATGGTGTAAAGGTCAGGGAGGGTTCTGCAGTTCGTGACTGCCTTCCCCTTATTTACGCTGGCATTGCATTTTATATTTGTGGCCTGTAAATAGTATTAAAAATAATTTTCCGGCTTAAAAAGCATTACTCGCAGCGCTGACAGACGACGGCTTATGCACTTAATGAAATGTACACGGCAATTGTCGTGCTAAAGAAGAAGAATACACACACACATACACTCTCTGGCCATGAAGATGGCAACATCTGCGGCTTTTGTATCTGTCTCGGGCTCTGGCCAAGGCAATAAATCGGGCCAACTTAAATTCCATGCCACCAGCAAATTCATATTAAAGGCTTTCGCCCAGCACTTGCTATGTGCCACTGCTTCGATAAGTGGGGGAGGGGGTGGCGGTTGTTGCATTAAATGGCACATTGTGTGTTCATTTCAAGCAGTTGTCCATGCGTTCCATGGTTGGTAAAAACAAGGCAATCAAAATGAAAGTCTTTATTTTAAATTAAGAGTGTACTAAATAAATGTATAAATCCATTTATTCACATTTTCCTATTTCTATTTAAGTGTTCTCTGATGTTATTTGCATTTGAGTTAAATAATTTATACAGCTAGTTAAATTTGATGATTTGAACACTTCAGCAATTACCTAATCTTAATGCAATTCAATGACTCTGTTGGCTGGCATTTACTAGCTAAGCAGAGTACTTTGTGCAAACAATTAAGCCAGCTCTCATAATAATAAAAGCTGTGCTTATAACACAGTTAATGGCTAAATTAAACATTATGCGCAATTATTTAAAACGACTAAGGAATCTCGAAACCAAATATTAAAGCAATATTAATAATATTATTTAAATGGACATCATTTTGTAAGAAGTCCCAAAGAAATGTCATTCGAGGAGCGCCTTGCAATAATAATAAATCAAAATTAATTCATAAGGACCACAAGGAATTTTCAATTACGATGCAATGCACAAAACAAAATGACAAAATTAGTTATTAAGCAAAACCTTTGCGACAAGTCAATGCACAAAAGCAAGTAATGCAAATTATAAAGACAGATGCAGGCAAGCATAGGACAACAACATGAGAAACATCAAAAGCAAAAACAGGAAACACAACAAGCCAAGCAGACATTATTTAATATTCAGGAAGCTAAATGAGAGACTGAAAGCAGGAAAAGAGCCTCAGCTAAATGTGTTTTACAATTGGCTAATCTGACAAGTCTCACACAAGTTCCGGCCAGGACAATTTTAATAGACATCGCCACAAGCCGAACACAAGCAGAACATCAACTTAATATTGGTTAAATGACATATAACAAATTTAATGGCATAGATGGCGTTTCTCAATTCAGGATGACTTCTGCTGCAGCTCGATGTCTCCCGTCTCAACCCCAGCTGTTGTTGTGGATTGGAGTCGATGATTGGATTGAGCCATTAGCTTTTGATAGCAAGGATGATCGGGTTTCACGCCCGGCTCCATTTCCACTTGTTCGGGCGTTCCATCGCCATCATCCTGAAATGATGACAGTCCCATTGGGGCCTCCAACGCCATCGAACCTTCCGAGTATACGTCTTCCGACGGGCAATCCTCAATCGAACAGCTCTCTATGGCCGGCATTTTCTCATCCGTAATACTAATCTCTGTGGTGCTCCAAACATCAAATTCCTCGGCAATTAGTCGACGTGCGAGCGCTACCGATAAATACTCCTTGTAGTGGAGTTTGCGACGACGCTCGAACTCCTTGCGACGCACTTTCTCATCAATGGACTCTGGGAAATCTTCGTCGTCCGAGGAATCATCCGAATCGACATCCATGCCAAACGATGGAGTCTCCGATTCGGCGGCCATGCGTAGTTTTTCCATCAGTGTTTCCGTGTTCAATTCATGCTGCAAATCATCATCAAACACAAACGGGGTCTTTGGCTCATCGATTATCATGTGGCCGTAGTCCTTGTTGGCCGGATGAAATGTCTCCAGCACATTCATCTCATCGAATTTGGCCCTCCGACTCTCGACCGTTTTACTCTCGCCCATCTTGAGTATTCCCTTTATGTTCGGATTGCTTTCCATTCTTATTATTATTATTATTTTTTTTTTGAGCGCAACTTGAATTAACTTTTTGGCTGTGTGTATCAGTTATAGTCTGGTGTAGTTTATAACTGTGACTTTGTTGGGCAAACCATACCACTTGATAATGGAGTCAAGGCCTACCTCGAAATTGGAAAAGTATTTCTGTGATATTGTTAAATATGATTCAATATTAAAGATGACCTTTAACTTTTCACTAATATACAATAATAATTGGAACAATACATGTTTTCAAACCAAACAAAAATTGCAATATATTTTGATTAGTAATCAAATTAAGAATGATCTTCATCTGCTTTTAACCTGTGGTCTGAAACACAACTTAAAAACCGAATGAAAAAATTTGCTAGCGTAGTTTTTCATTAACGAAAAACATTTTGTTTTTGCCAACGGCCTAACATGTTTGTTTGTTTGTGTGTTTGTTTTTTTTAATAGAGTTTTTAATTATCTTTCAAACGAGACTTGCACCTGCCTCTCTGTCGCAGTTGCGAGGGAGAACTAATTAAGATTTGACTTAATTGGAGCAGAACAAAGGCTCGCGAGCACATCAGCATGGATTCATTTTAAACTCACGTTTTTTTTCGAGTAGCTGGCTCTGATTAATCCACGCTGGCTGCTGGATGTCAAGCACTTTGTACGCAGCAACTATGTGCTCACATGCCATCTAGACCACAAAGTAAACTCATTTTGACGTGTTCATCATCAGCGGCAGCTGTACCGAGAGACAGGAGACGGGAGACGGGAGATGGGAGATCTGAGAGTTGAGAGTTGTTGTTGATTATTGACCCTGGTTTTTGTTGTTATTGATGTAAACATATTCATCATTTTGCATTTTGCAACTGTTGTTGCTCTGGCAGCTGGCAGTTTCAAAGCACTTGAGTGTATATATTTTTACGCCGCAAGGGTTGCGTTTGGGATTGGAGCATATTGCATGTATGGCGAATTGATTGCAGCACATTATTTCACAATTTTGCCAGCAAATAAACAAGCGAGAGGAAAAGGCTGAAACTATGAACCAGGAAGCCAGGAAGCCAGCAACCCGCTAGCCAACCAGCCAACACAGTCAGCCATGCATATTACGAGCTATGCTGCTTATCAGCTCAGCCAAAATACTACAAACTGCACGACAACCAAACCCAACCCCTAACTCAATCCCAATGGTGATATTGATGATGTTACTGTTGCATGTTCGATGATGCTGATGATGATGTGGATGATGAGATTGATGCCACGCACGATGCAGTTTTTGGCAATGTTTTGGCACACTCAGGAAAAAAAATCGTGCTGAATTTTAGAAGAAAAAACCTAAAATCAGAAAGTATATTTCCAAAAATTTGAAATTGTAATACAAACTTATTATATATCAATTTTTTTATTTATATTAATTTATGTTAATATTATATCAGGAAATTGAAATTTCAAATAAAACGTGATATGCACTATCTAATTAGAAGAGGAGGGATTTTCTTTTTGTAATTTTAGGGCAACATTTTTGAGAACTTAGAAAAAAATGTGTCTCACTTCAGACCTTTTAATAACAGTCAGTGTAATAAGGTACTACAATGATCTTAATTTTAATATAAAAGACGAGCAAGTAAATTTATAAAAATTATTCTTTTCATTTATATTTATTCGAAATTCATATCTTAATAAAAGAAAGTATTCCCAAAAAAAAAAAAAACTTCACATTATTGGTGATTGTTGATTTAGGGAAAGTCTTTCTGTTTTTAGGCGTTTTTTGAAGAATGTTAGGCTGATTTTCAGAGTGTAGCTAACGTTAGGGGGTTGTGGTTAGGCAGCTTTGATTGCTTGCTTTATGGAGAATGCAATGCAGCTATGGGCTAACAGTTTTGTTCGATTTACGAAATTGCAGTTGCTCGATTGGATTTCTTCTGGAGTAGTAGTGGTTGTGGTAGTCGTATTCGACATCAGCTGCATCAATCGTAACAATGTGTGTATCTAGGAGATACACACCAGCTACGTGCCACAGACGAATGCGCACAAGTAACAGCTTGTTCCAGTCTACAGTTGCTGTATCCTTTAGCTGTAACTGTATCTTTATCCGGCATCCGTTTACAGGAGGCGCAGGATCTTGTGTTTGTGGCTGCCACACACAAACACACACACACACACACACAGAAAGATATCCACGCAATTTTATGGCAATCATAAATTTCACTTGATTTTTGCCTTTCCGCAATTTTTACGCAACACAATGCAGCATCCGTTCCAGTTTGTTGCCTGTATCTCCGCAAGATGCTTGCTTCTAGCTGTGGGTGGCGCCACGCAGTTGATATTAGCTGCTGGAGCTGCTCTGTTTTTCTTTTTATTTTTTATGGATTGGTGGATTTGTCGGCTGGACAGCCTTCTCGTTTGGCAGCGTTATGCATATTTATTAAAAACTGTCTGCTGCGATTAAAAGCCAATCAGGCCAATTGCAAATTCCTTTTATTGGCTCCCCCCGCCTTATAAATATTTAAAATTTAATTTCGGGGCACCACAGCTCAAGTTCTCGGTTCTCTGTTGGAATATATTTTTCTGCACCTAGATTAAAATGTGTGTGTCCGCCCATTTGTGCAATGCGATATCTGTATTTATCCTTCTGTGGTTGTTTGTGTGTGTGTGTGTGTTGAACTCCTCTCCTCTCCTCTCTTAGTCAGGTGCCCGACTCGACATTGCCTGCACGGCAATCGAAGCGTGGAACGCTGAAGCTCAACAGCCTGCCACACGCTAAAGGCAAACACGTTGAGCGCAAATGTAGCGCGTTTCCTTTTTGGCTTTTACGCTGTACTCCCTATAAGGGACAAGCACCAGGACCACACATAAGCAGCAGTTGCAACTATGGCAGCCGCAGCCGCAGTGGCAGTGGCAGTAACCACACTTAAAAAATTAAACTGCATTTTGAGAAATTCGCCAAGGTTAACGCAGCTTATTATTCAGAAAGTATATTTCTTAAGACTAGGGTTTTTCTTTACATACACAAACATTATTGGTTTTTTATTCGGAAAGTATATTATTGGAAGGCACAATTGTATAGTATTAAAAACATATATTTTTCATTTTAAGGGTCTCTTTTTTTTGTTAGAAGCAACTCTAAAATATATTTTAGATAGTTTATTAATTCATATAATTTAATATGAAAAAGCTTATGATTTTCGGCAATTGTGTTACCTGTTTCTGCATTTTAGAAAGGAATTTTCCGTTTTAGAAATGCATTTCCTGCTAATAGAAAATATTTCTAAAAAATAAGATCACAAAATTAGGGCAAGCCTTCCGAGTTTTTACAAAACTGTTTTCTTATATTAAAAATTTCTCTTTTATAAATTATTTCTAAAATCCAGAAAGACTTTATAGTATCAGGACGAATTTCCAAAATGCAGTGCGATTTTTATTGTGAGTGCAGTACAAGCAGTACCACAAAAACTCCCACTCGAAACCAAGTCCCAAATAGTACCACTTATGAGTGTATCTCTGTGTGTGTGCCCGAGTGTGTGGATGTGTGTGTGGGAGTGTGTGGCAGTTAGCTAACGCTTGACAGCTTGGCAAACAGTTAAATAAAGTTGGCAGCACACCCGCTTTGTGGTTGGGTGACTTTTATCCTGCAGCGCAGTTAGTACGAGTAATACCAATCGTTGGGTATTTTGGCTTTATAATAAAGTAGTAAAGAAATATTGTCCTAGCTTCATTGTGTTGTTTTGAAATTTGTCCAACGAAAGTTAAATGATCTATTATGAAAAGGAATATTTGATAAATCCACACCGTAAATAAATCAACTTGCAATATGATTGAATGCTGCACATACAATTGGATCAAAATAAGTACTTTCCCATTAATAATATGTTCTATGCTGTTGCAATTAAAAATATGTAAACAGCTTTAAATTACAAGCGAGAATTCGAGTTTTGAAAATCGAATGAACCCTTCCCCAAAAGCCAGTTTCTGGCAGAGATGTGTATCAATATTGTTGTTCCTTTATTTTCGATTATTATAACATGCCTAACTACATATTTTGTTGAATGCGCCTCATTGAAACTACCCAGAATTATACGCAAAATTGTGAAAGCCAATCGAAACGCCAAGAATTAGAGATTATCAATAGAAAATAAATTTTGCTTTCATTGTTCTGTATAGAGAAACAAGATTCGATTTAGATGCGCAGCCCAATGGTTCTATATTGGAGGCACTTTATTCGGGTGTCGCCAGGTCAATGCTAATACATATGCAAGTGGAACTCAGCAAGAGGGTCCACAGCTGCTGGCGCAACCGCCGCACGGACCGCAGGCGGCACAGGGTCCACAGCAACCGAAACAGGGCCCTGTGGCATAGCAGGGTCCACAGACATTGGGTCCAAAGCAGCCACCACCACAGGGACCGGCACCACAGGGACCGCATCCACCACAGCAACCACCGCAAGGACCACAGCACATGATTGATCTAAGTAAAGCCATTATAATATTTTGAAATAAAAGGAAAATACATATAATTCACTTCCATTTCTTACCTGAAAACCGAAAAAGAATTAAGAGACCACAAAAATAATTTAGGTGTTGTTGCTTCGAGTTGAGATGTACGAATAAAGTAGTTTAAAACAAAGCAGAATCACCTAAGCTCAAATTGAGACATGTTTCTCAAAGGTGACTGGATATAAGTGAAGGCCACAGGAGCCACTTTATAGCCCTGTATTTTATTTTTTTTACATATTTATTTATTTAATGTCAAGCAATATCAGACATCAAAGGAAAATACAAAAATTACAACAAAAAATTATGACGTGACTCCGATTTGAAGCTATTATAATCATTATATAAATTAATGCAAGGAATAATAAGTAGTACAGCTATTAACAGAAAGTGAGAAGAATTAACTGGTCTATATGAATACATGAATACAATACAAAATAGAAATTAATTTATATATCAATATGATTTATATTATAATATATAATTGCCAAATTGTTTAGTTTACAAACACAATTTTGGAGTGTTTAATAGTTATAATAATAATGATAAATAAATGTTAAGAGATATATAAGCTAATATGACTTAAGATATCGCATCTGATGCAGCTGCATACTTTGCTTACATTTATAGTTTTTGGCATTTAATTGTTAGTGCAAGTTAAGAGAGTGCTATTATAATTTCATGACACACAATGGTGCGCTAATGAATACGAATAACAAGAAACTCGTATGTGGCGACACGGACTCGCACGCGATTCAACAACTTGACAACAGCAAATAAACAACAACAAGCAAACAAACAAACAGTCAGCTGATTGTGAGCCAAGACACAGAGACAGATAGTCAGACAGGGAGTCAGTGGATGAAAGACAGTTGCACAAAGCACTCGGAGTACTCGGGTACAAACTACTTACTTACTTACGAGTACTTTTACCCACTTATGTGGGGCAACAGCGGCAAACAAAGTTATGCGGCAAGTTGAGCCATTTGTTTTTGTTATTGTCTACACTCGGCAACTGTCTTTTCACATAAGATCACACTGGCTGTTAAAGCTGCCTCCCTTTTCTGTTGCTCCTCTTTTCCTCTTCTTTTTTTTTTGCTTGCAGCAAACGCAGTACAAAACTCACATAAATTACGCGCCCAGCAAAAGTCGCAAAATGTCAAATGCAGCAAACACGAAACTAAAAAAAATGAGAAGCCAAAAACTAGCACCCAAATTTCAACGACTACAAATAAGAATGGAAAATATTAAGAGTACTCGCGGGTGAGTCATCGTTGGAGGCCCAACTTCAATTGCAGCCGAGTTGGGTAACTTTGTGCCTGGAAATGCGACCAATTTGTAGTCATCGCCTGCAATACGAATGCGTCGACTGCTGCTCCATTACATTGTCTGCCAAACCTGGCCAGGTCTTGCCCTGTTCTGTCCTGGCCTGGCCTGTCCCGGCCTGGTCGGTAGTTGGTAAATGTGGTCGGTTCTCTCAGTGGTCGATATGCGCGTGTTGGCCTTCGAAACTGACATCCAAACGACACCAAAAAAGAGGCGAAAAAGAAAAATGACAAAGCTAACTATGATTTATGGCGCTTTGGGCACAGGATGTCGCAATAGAAAGTTGTAGGTGGAGTGCTCCAATATAGCCAATTAAATTACTGCAGTTTGCACACATCATAATTAAGAGAAACACAACAGAAAACAGTTCAGAATCGATTTATTAAAGCAGAAAACACATACATTTATTATTTAATAATTATTACATAATGGAGTAAGCATAACAATAGCAACAGAATAAACATAGACTTATTATTATTATCTATTGATATTCTTCACAAGTTGTATGGATGATATTTATAATATAAACCCATTAAATGGTGACGATTATAAACTTTAATTTTAAGCCTTTTACAAAACTGAGGTCTGTTTTCAGCCCACATTCAAATTACAAAATAACCAAATAAATAAACAAATAAAGTGTTTTAATCTCGGCTTGTTTCCAATTTCAATTTTCATTTAAATTTATACATTTTTCGGTTCACAATAGTAGCCAGAGTACTCCGCAAAATATATATCTGAGGTCTAAGGCCAACAAACACGCTAAAGTTTCAAAAATTCCATATTATCTTTGTTTTTTTTTTTGCTAAAGTTTCCTTTTCATTTTCTTTTCGATAGGTATGTGTAATGAAACTGGAGAAAAAGAAAGACAGAGAGAGCGAGAGGGAGAGAGCCCAACCAAAAATCATGCAAATGAGTTTTGCAACAGAATGCAGCAGCGGCAATTAGAATTCTCCGGGTGCTCTGTGCAGATGCTGCTGCTGTTGCTACTAGTCGGTATATGGACGAAATAATGGTCATGAAATGAAATCGAATCAGGGCAATTCACTGCCAAGCAGCCAGCCAAACGGACAGACAAAGGGACAGACATTCAACCAAAGGCTGCTGCCACTGCATGAAAATGGAGCCACAACTGACAAAAAATAGGGGAAAAAAGATATAGGCATTCTGTGGTAATAATGAAGATGACGCTGACGATGACGATGACGATGATGATGATGACGACTGTGTTGCAGACACGGTCAGCAAAACTGCAAAATGTTGAATGTGATGTGATTCGATGCGTTTCGAGTTTGAGTCTGCGTCTGGCATTCAGCTGGGCGTGAAAATGCAATTAACTGGCCCAGGATCAACAGGAGTTCAAGTGGCACCGGCAACACAGAGAGAGTTGCAAATGCAACAAACAAATAAACAAATTAAAAATATAAAATAGAAAAAAAAAAACATAGCTAGCCACAACAATTGTAATTAAAAGCAGCGCTAAACAAGAATGATAAATATCTTGACAAAAAGCAAAGCAAAGCTTTACCCAAAAAAAAAAACAAGTTAAACAAAAACAGCCAAAGAGAAACAGAAAACTTTTCCTTTTACTTTTGGTTTTTTGTGTCTGGCTGTTTGTTACTTTTCACACACACAAAAGCACACACACACACACAAATACAAACACAAACACACATTAAATGGCCGGCCTGGGAGCTGCCATAATACAATTTATACGACAACACTTTAGTGCAAAGTTTATGCGCAGTGTTTACAACATGCTATAAAAGCCGGACAATGCATGCAACATCGAGGGAAGAGTGTGGGTGGGGGGAGAGAGAGGTGGATTAGGGCAACGCTTGGCCATAATGTAACCCGTAAATGTACTCCGGCGTAGTCGTTCGCTGCGGGTGCGTAACAAGTGCAGCCCGCATAAGTAGGATGATCTGCCTCAGCTAAGTTGAAGCAGGAATTGGAGTTGGAGTCGGGAGTTTCAATCCCGGAGTTCATTGGGGTCTCTGTCTTGGTTGGAGCACAAATTGTCGCCTGGCATTGGCAGCTAGTAAAAATTAAGTAATAAACAAAGTTGAACACAGGTTGGCCCTCGTTATGGCCAAGAAACAAAGCAAAACACAACACAAACAGTTGTGGCAGCAGCAAATATGTTTTTGTGTGCATAGTCCAGACACTTTAATGGCAACAACACGACATTGTCGAGCAGTTTGCAAACATTTAACTCAAGTGATATTTGTGTCTGTCAGCCACAACTTTATATATACATGTGTATATTACAACTACAGCTATATTAACTGATAGGTCCGTAGGTAATTCATCTGGCAATCTCAACTAGACTTTAGTTATTAGCCCTTAAGCCATCAGACAATGTATACAATCTAATAAATGTCGATGAAAATGTATAGATCAGATTTTTAAACATTTCATTCTATGTAAATGTAAAGAACATGCTTGTAAAACATTCAATTCAACTCAACTTTAGTTATTCTCAATCAAGCCGCAAGGCTACACATAAGTCCTATGAAAATCTATAGTAGGTGGCTTATGTGAACTAATAATTAATATCTTCCTGAAATACCTGAAATGCTAGCAAGACAAGAGTCAAGTGGACTTCATCACCTCTATCAATTTACGAACAATTTACTATGGCATTCAATAGACATTCAATTAGTATTATATAATTTGTAGCACAATGACAGCAGATAATTATACAGTTAATGGAAAATACAAATTTAATTAAAACAAACAGAAAAAGCCCAAGGGTTGCTGCGAGTCAGTTTTCAGTCCATTTTCACCCTTTGTTAGTCAGTTAATCAATTTGAGGTGCCAGTGGGGGAGGAGGAGGCGGAGGTGGATGCTGTGTAGTTAATGACAATTGTACTAGAAGGAGTTGACTCAATACCTGAGGCGACCCAAAATGCCGCAACCTAATTAATTAGGTAACCGACAAAATGAAATCAACGCTAAATAGGCCGGGAAAACAAAACAAATTATGGAAGAACCCAATGACAAACACTTGGCTGACTTATGCTAATGATTATGTTCAACATCAACAATTTAGGGGGCAGCAGCAACAGCAGTAAACAACTGCTGCAGATACAATTTGTAATCGCTTCACCACACAAATCAATAAATGCCATTGTCGCCATTGAAATTAATGTTATATTCGCAGGCAATTCTCGTTTTCGGTTCGCCTGGAAAACAAACACTTGCCCCCAAACCCGAAAACTAAACAAACGCTCCATCAATTTCAATAACACACAGCCGCCTAATCAAATTGCCAGAGAGAGTGCAGCTCGTGGCACGCGTCTCGCTTAATTGCTTTCAATTTGCCACAAATTACATGGTCCAAGTTTAAGTTGGCGCATCTCTATTCATTTTTTGTGTTCTTTTTTTGTTTTTTGTGCACTCATCATTTTCATAAATTTATTTTAAATTGACTTTTTGACGCGCAGCGTTTCAAAATTGAGACACTTGTGACTAATTTGCAACACATTTTGCTACAAAGTTTGGCACAAAAAAAGTTTAAAAAAAAAAAGAGAATCAAATGACTAAAAAGGAAATGACAAAAGTCACAAACCACAGCAATTGTTGGGAAAAAATCAAATAACTGCTTTTCGTTTAACGAATATTGACTACACTTGCCAAAAGACTACTTAACTTTTTCCCTTTACTGAAAAAAATGGGGGAGCAAATATTGGAATAATAGGGGACTGCTTCGAGAAGCTAATTCCGAAATTATTTAGCAGATGTACTTGTTCCATTTATGATCATATTAAACAACT